CCCCAAAACCCCAAAACCCCAAAACCCCGCTATGTAAGTTCTGTAAGAGATTAGTCTCATCTATAAAATTTAATATTAAGTTATAGTTAGAAATTTGAATAAATAATGAGACTTAGTAAACAGCTCGCCATTGTTGCTACAGTAGCCAGTCTAGTAGTAGCTTAAGACTTCGATGATTTTTGGAAGCCATCAGAAACCATTCTAAATTACTGGCTTCCATTACTAATTGAAGATAAGAATTATGATGACCTTGTCGTAGATCCAATGACTAACGACATCTACCCAGGGTAGCCATGGCTCTTATTCTTCTACATCAAGAGATGCAGTTGGTGCCAAGAATTCAAGTCTGAGTTTGAGGACTTAGCAAATAGACTTCATGATGTAGCTAATTTTGGAATGATAGACTGCCATAAGAGTGAGTATCTAAAGGAATCTTATAGAATTTCAGCCTACCCAACTCTTATTTTGATCTACGATGGCATGGCATACGAATACGAGGGATCAAGAACATTCGAGAGTATCAGAGCATTTATCAAATAGGATCATATTTACATCAAGAATTAGTTTGAGATTCCACCTCATATGGGCGAGATTGGTTTAAGATTGAGATATCTAGAAAGAGACATGCCAAAGATCGAAGCCTTTTTAGACCTTCATATCTTCGAGAAGTTAGGTTAGCATGAAAACTTGACCAGAGAGGCTAAGCTAGGCATAGTAGTAGGAGCTGTATTATTGGTAGTTCTAACACTTTTAATTACCCTATGTTGCTGTTGCTGTGGCAAGAAAAAGAGAAATACTGCAGTAGCTGCAGAAGGTGAAAAGGATCAGGGTACTAAAAAGCCAACTAGTAGGTCTGCCAGGGAAAAGATAGATTGACGCAGTAGATAGAAGGTAGGAGATTATGAATAAAAGCAGTTTCTCTGCATATAATTGACTAATTTCTGTTTAAATTTCTTCAATTAATACGTGTTTAGTTTTTTAAACCAACTTAGGGGTTTTGGGGTTTTGGGGTTTTGGGG